CAAACTTAATGCATTTAGCACGTTCACCACCCTCACCATGATAGTGGGAACAGTGACGAACCAATGAGTCAAACTTGGCAGCATAAGCTTTATTTCCGACCCGGACAATTTTAGGGGTCTACAACTCTACTACTGTGTTATTCCCTTGCTTCAGTTTAAGGAACTCCACTTCCTTCTGACTCCTCACATCATCCAGGAAATACTTCTCAAGGAAGACCCTCTTTAAGTTGTCCCAATTCAAGTGCACCCCTCCATCAATCATCCTCTGAAGTGCTCCTTCCCACCAAAAGTGGGCATCAACAGTCAACATGAAGGTGGCTAACCTCACCTTCTGAGCGAGAGGACACTCCATGACATTGAAGATCTTCTCGATCTTCATTATCCAAATCATTGCAGCATCTAGGTCATATCCTCCTTTGATGGTAGGTGGATGATTTCACTGAAATTGCTCCAACCAGTTAGGAGCGACTTCAACCCTATTGTTATTACTCATAGCTTGTGCTAACGCTTGAAGGGCATCAACAATCGTACGATCATTTCTACCAACCATAATATCTAAGAAAATAGTACACACAATTACATAAACAATAAACATAATCAATCATCACACTAGCATATCATTAAGTTCCACAATAAATTCATTCCATCATCTACCAACAAGCATAGTAGACTCATAACTCACAGCCGATTGGATCAACCAGGCTCTGATACCACTAAATGTGACACCCTCTACCCCACATACATAATACACAATAAATATAAATATAAAGTACATTCTTGAGTAAATAAAACTTTCTTTAAAAAGTAAGGTTTCAGAACACATAGATAAAGAGTTCACATTCATATTTCGCAAATCATAGTCCAATGCAAAAATAATGACAAAATAAAACATCAATCTTTCCAAAACACAATAACAGTAATGAAACTCCAATGCTAAACCTAGCTAAGCCCCGATTTCACATATCCTATCAGAGCATGCCCAACTGAAGCCTAAGCCTCATCACCAACATCCTCATGCTGATGATAATCTACAACACAATTTAAACACATACAAATAACAACAAGGGATTGAGAAATATCTCACTCGGTTCCAAGTGTAGAAATAAAGGTTAGATAGCACACACACACAACAAACATAAGTCACATGTAAACAATACACATACACAATCAATATCACATGTACACTCATTTATCATGAAATGATGTCATGAACTCGACTCATAAATGCATGCATGTGGCGTCATACGGAAGTTTCACGTTTCTCATCATTTCATCACTGGTGACCCAAGGTACACCTAGAATAGCTTGTTACATCACTGGTATACGGCCTAAGCGGCATACCTGGAATAGATCATTTCATCACATAGCTTGTTAGATTACTGGTATGTGGCCCAAGTGGCACACCTGGAATAAGTCATTTCATCACATAGCTTGTTACATCACTGGTATGCAGCCTAAGCGACACACCTGGAATAAGTCATTTCATCACATAGCATGTTACATCACTGGTATGTAGCCTAAGCGGCACACTTGGAATAAGTAATTTCATCACATAGCTTGTTACATCACTGGTGACCATAAGGTACACCTTGTTAGCTGGTTACATCACTAGTGTGCGGCCTAAGCGGCACACCTGGAATAGATCATATATGCACATGATGCATGTCACACATTCAGTATTTCATTAACTCAACATTTCACTTGTCATGGAATTTCATGTCTCATATCATCACATTTCACATTATCATTCACATCATCTCTCATGTCATTTGTTCATATTTTACATAGTGTCATATTTATAATTGTTCCTCATAGGATTCCGTACAAGAACTCACAGAACACTCTAATTCATATCAAAACATATATAATTTTGAAATCAAATACATATTTACACTCTACATCACACAAGGAACGCAACAAGCATTCAAAAAGCAAAATAGAAAATATTCATATTTTGCATGTTTCTCATAAGATTCTCTCAGGAACCTATAGAGCACTCTAATTCATATCAAAACATATTCATTTTCAAAATCAATCACATATTCATACATCACATCCAACAAGAAACATAACAGAAGAATCAGAATGCAAAACAGAAAATATTCATATTTTTCCTGTTCTTAGATGCATGCATCAGGCAAGGGATTGGGGGTCAATCCTACTACCCAACAATTATTCTCACACTCCCGAGCGAGGTTTTTCACTCCCCCCTTCCCTGGATAAGTAGAAGGCGAAGCTAGAGCGGAATCTGGTTGATCTCCTTCTCTTGGTTCTCCTTGGTCTCTAGAGAGTATGTCCAGAAACAGTGCGAGAGAGCTCTATTTATAGATTTCAGGAGTGCCCAAAATGGCCCGTTTCAGATTTGGAACGGCCCATTCTGGATCCTTTCACCATGTGAAAAATTCATATCTGGAATGGCCTGTTCTCAAACTAGAACGGGCCGTTTCGGAGATGAGTTTTAACTCACAACGTCCATATTTGGAACGGCCCGTTCCCAACTTTGGAACGACCTGTTCCCAACTAGGGTTATAGGCCATTTTGGTGGTTTGGAACGGCCTATTCCAGTTTGAGAACGGCTCGTTCTAGGCAAACAAAAATAGGTCTTTTTAGTAGTTTGGAACGGCCCATTCCAATTTGAGAACGGCCCGTTCTGGGCTACTAAATTACCTTCAATAAATCTTATGAAAATTACTAAATTACCCTCCATAAAAAAGTATGAAAACTAGGGTGTTATAGTGTTAGTATAACCCTCCTCTCTCTCAGAGAGAGAGAGAGAGATAGAGAGAGAAAGAGAGAGAGTGGAGGAATCAAATAATTTAAAAAATAACTCTTGGTAAAGTTATTCCACTCAATAACTCATGACATGTGTTGAATTTCATCGATCCAATTATTAAATTAAAAGTTATTAAATTTTACTAATAATTAATATAGAAAAAAGTTAATTAGCTTTGAAATAAATTATTTGCTAATTAACAATATAATTGAAACATTAATTATTTTAAATTATTTAACTAAAATCTTATTGACAATTTACTATATGATCTTAATAATTTTGTATAATTAATATCTGGTTTTTAAATTTGATGTGAAAATATTATGATATAATTAGATAAGATTTTAAGTTAGTATTTTATTAATGGTTGATAATTAGAAAATAAAACAAGGATAAATACATTTTTTGAATTTTATATCTTTGATTTAAGATAAATAAATATATTAAATTATTTAATAATTTATTTAAAATGTTAAAATTTAATTTATAAGTATGTAATAAATAAATATTTATAATTTTATAAATTATATTATCATTATAAATTATAAAATTAAATAATTTAAATTATAATTTTAAATAGAAATAAGTAGATGTTAATTATAAAAGTAAGTACATATAAATAAAGAATAATTAAATATATTATTATTATTATTATTATT